ACCCCACACCCACACACCCACACACACACACACACACACACACACACACACACAGAGTCCCCCTCCACACCCCACCCCACCCCAAACCATATCACACACCAGGGTAGGATCAAGTAGCCAAGATGGTCTACAACTGGCTAAGTCATCAAGGATGACTTTGAATTCCCTGGAGTTCTGACTCTATTTCCCAAATATTGGGATTACAGGAGTATACTACCATGCCCGGTTTTGTTTGCTAACTTTAGAATATTTGGAGTTACTTATCTGACTTCAATGACTGGGGAAGACTGACAAAAACAGTCTGGAATTAAAGGCATGTGCCACCAACACTGGGCAAAACTAGCTTTTAAGACCATGTATGGGGTAGAGAAATGGCACAGAAATTAGGAGTGCTTACTGTTCTGAGTTTGGGTCTCAGCACCTATGCTAGCTGGCTCACAACTGTCTGTAACTCTGAGAGGTTCCAGGGAGTTGTCACTTGTACTCCACAGGCACTTGCACTTACATGCACATAAACACACACACACACACACACACACACACACACACACACACACACATTAGAAAAGTATTCTAAAGGTTAACAAAAGAACATTTAAAAAAGACAGTAAGTGCAACACTCCTTTTTAATGTTATTATAAAATGTTCCAGATTAATACTATTCTTAACCTCTCCGAAGAGGCATCCCTTTTAAACTAAGTATTATTGCCGGGCGTTGGTGGCGCACGCCTTTAATCCCAGCACTTGGGAGGCAAAGGCAGGCGGATCTCTGTGAGTTCGAGGCCAGCCTGGTCTCCAGAGCGAGTGCCAGGATAGGCTCCAAAGCTATACAAAGGAACCCTGTCTCAAAAAAACAAAACAAAACAAAACAAACAAACAAAAACTAAGTATTATCAACAAAATGACCCAAGCAGAAGCCGGGCGGTGGTGGCGCACGCCTTTAATATCAGCACTAGGAAGGCAGAGGCAGGTGGATCTATGTGAGTTCGAGACCAGCCTGGTCTACAAGAGCTAATTACAGGACAGCCTCTAAAGCCACAGAGAAACCCCCGTCTCGAAAAGCAAAAAAAAAAAAAAAAGGACCCAAGCAGGGGATGAGGGCTCACACTTTTAATCCAGTACTTGGGAGGCAGAGGCAGATGGATCACTCTGAGTTCAAGACCATCCTGGTCTACATAGCTAGTTTCAGAACAGCCAGGGCTACACAGAGAAACTCGGTCTCAAAAAAAAAAAAAAAAAAAAAAAAAAAACCAACAACAAAACTAAGAAACAACCCAAGTGACTATCCACAAATGAATAATAAACTGACTTCTATGTAAAGTGGAACAGTATTTAGTAATAAATGGAAGTGAACAGTGATACAAGTGGCTACTGCATGAAGTCTTAAAACTGTTGTGCCTAGTGAAAGAAGCCCAGTACAAACCAGCACACTTACATAGAACTCTAGACAATGCAAAGGGAGAGAGCAGGAGACAGGAAGCTGAGTAACAAATGAGGAAATTTCAGGGGGAATGACAGGATCATTATTTTGATTATGGTGATAGTCTCATGGATATATTCATCAGTGTGTCAAAACTTGCTACACTGTACATTTTAAGCACATATACCTTATTATGTCTATTGTACCCTCAATAAAGATGTTAAGAAGGAATATGGCAAACAAAAACTAATATGGTCAAGGGAACTTATTCACAGTTCTCAAATCTGCATCTATTTTAAAGAGTTTTTTACTTAATACCAATACTATCCTTTTAAAAAAGATTTTAATTTATCTGTGTGTGAACCTGAGAAAGTTTATGTGCACTGTGTGGGTAGGAGCCCTCAGGAGCCACAAGGACATCTGATCTGGAACGGGAGTTCTTGAGTTGCCCTGTTGTGCTGGGAACTGAACCTGTGTCCTCTGCAAAAGCACTAAGTAAGTGATTTCAACTGCTGACCCATCTCTCCAGCCCCTGATCCACTATCTTTACTCTCACAATTCAGAATCCTAACGTGTGCCTGCCTCCCTTGATACCTGGGGATGCTCTACTTAGCACTTTCTGATGCCCATGTCCTGTGCCCAAGACTGCCATATCTAAGAGCAGGGACTGTCAGTGTCTACAGGATATAATATGGTGCCTGAAAAGGAGTGGACACTCAAGTGTGTCTTATGAAAACACCATCATCATCTGTTTCAGAAAATATCTCCTCTAGTCTAGACTGTGCTATGTATGGAAGGCAGAGACTCCATTTGCCTCATTCTGCATCCATAGGTCTCTAACCCCGTAAATGCTCATTGGATTAAAAAAATGCACCACTGCTGGTCCCACACAGCATCCTGACCCAGCTTTTGTTCTGAGTAATGAATATTATTTAAGGTATTTATAATTATAAATATTAATAACAACATTTCCAGACACAATGGGAGCATTCTTTCAAAATAACAAGCTTTTATAATGAAAATATTTATTCACTTGTAAAGTCAAGCATTCAAATTTATGCACTAATTCATTCTTTAGTCCTAAATAACCAGTATTTTTTAAAAAAATCAAACTTTTTAAAAGCTAAACTGATCAGAAAACATATCCAGTTTCCTTACCCAGTCCGCATTTTTCAGGTCCTCCAGATCTGTGCTAGATTCATCGGTCTTTTCCATTTCTTGAATCTTCTTAAGATTCTACCAGTTAAAATAAAATTAAAAAATAATTATGGAAAATTATATTAAGCTACTTTCTTATAAGCAAGTTATAACTCCAAAAAGTTATCTTTAGAGAAAATATAGACAGAAGTATCAGTGAAGACAATAGTTCATTAAAGCTCATGGGTAATTATTTCTTCTTTTTTAAATTTTATTTTTTTTTTTTTAACTTACACTCTCTTCTTTTCTTGACTACTGAAATCTTACTGAGAACAGCCCCACATTTGACATGAGCTAGTAAAGCAGTCTCCGGCCTGGCCATTCCACACTGCCTTTCTCCACTGCCCACCCCTTTTCTGCAGATATCAGGTTGGTTCAACTAAACCACTAGCTCCTCAGACAGGCCTTCCTTTCTTCCCCTTTAATACAAAACCTCTTTACATCCATGGGTTCTTAGCATCATGTTAGGTTCACACTTGTCTGTGATTCCTGTCTAGTCTTTCTGAGGCAGAAGTTCACTCACAGAGTTAGTATGAGCTTTGGAACTTTTGGATGCTCGGTATGCATTTGTGATGGCTAATCTTGATTGTCAACTTGTTAGGATTTAGAATCATCATGGAAACGAATCTCTGGGCATGTCTGAGAGTGGTTTTTAAAGATTGGGTTAACCGAGGTGGAAAGACCCACTTTCAATGTGAATGATACCATTCTATGCTGGAGTCCCAGGATGAATAAAAGGGAAAAGAGCAGCATCCCTGTCTTTCTGTTCCTGGGGATGAAATGTAAACAGCTCTGCCTCCTGCTCCTGTTGCCATGCCTCCCAGCCACAATGAATATACACCCTTAAACGCTGAGTAGAAACAAAGCTCCCTTGTTTGGGGTGTTTTCGTCAGGTATTTTGCCCAGCAACAAGAAAAGCAACTAATACAATATTTATCAAGTAATTTATTTACAAACTTCAATTGATAAAATGCCTTTTAAACTGCATCAACCTAACATTGGCAACTTGTAAGAAAATACTGATTAACAAAACATATGGGACAGTGAGATGGCTTGATAGATAAAAGGTACTTGTCACCAAGTCCAATGACCTGAGTTAGATTTCTAGGACCCACATGATGGAAATAGAAAACTCACTTCTGCAAGTTGTCCTCAGATGCCCACACATACGAAATGTGCATGCATGGGTATGCATGTATGCACACACACACAAGTAAATAAATGTAACAAAAATTCTGAAAAGCATATTTATAAATTAATTAAAAAGGCACTGTATTCCATGCCTACTAATAACAATTCACCCTTAATATATGTTACCTTTGACTGAATTATTTGCCTGCTTGCTCACAGATTAGATTTAAATGTACTATATGAAACTTAACTTGTTTTATATGACATTGTAAACAAAACATTTCCAAACTTTATTTTTAGCTTCCTAATATCTCATATTATCCATCTGCAAAACAAGGATAACATCACCAGTTTTTTTTTAATACACTAATAAAGAAATGTTAATACAGAATAAAGAACAATTACTCTGAACACTGAAAATGTGATGCAAATAATGCATTGTTTCTTCTATCCCTAGGGGAAAACGGAAGGGGGGAAAAAAAACCCAACTCAACCCATTTCCAGTTATTTCAGACTGTGTTTACCCAATTTTCTTTAGAAGTCAAGATTCCTTCTGAGATGCTGAAATAAGGTATGTGCCATTCTTCAGGTTGTGGTCTTGTCAAAGTTACCCAATCTGGGTCTTCTGTTCACTTATAAAAGTATCACTATCTACCCCTCTACTCTAAGTATTAAAGAAGTGACACATTGAATTACTGGCACACTGCTTGGCACAGAAAAGATACCCAGCATAATTCCCTGTACCTCCTAAGTATAATAAACCATAATTCATCATACCACAGGACATATCAAAATTTAAAACATACTCAATTTTTGCATCTGCAGCCTCTTCAGAAAAGCTATTTCACAAGCCTGCAGATGATTTTTTTTCTGTGTTACCTCAGCTCTAGTCCCTTACACTCGTCTGAAGCCTGGCTCTTCCTAACGTGTTTGTCTACTGGTATTGCCTAGAATAGCGTCCTGGAGCAATAATCATGACAGCTAGAAAATGAGAAGTAGTAAGTGTAAAACAACCAAAATCTATCCTAATCCATGTTATAGAAGAAGTGGGGCTCATAAGGGCTAAATCCCATATCTGTGACCTCTCTGCAATGAGTGGAGTAGGCCTAAAACAAAGGGACAGCCCAGGCTCTCAGATATGTGGGAGATGTATGTTTGCAAGGGTGACAAGAACCCTGGCTGAGACAATTCTCATCAAACAGCTGGGTCTACTTATTTTGTTAAAAGGAACAAAATAAGTTCTACTTATTTTGTTAAAAGGAACCTTCACAAATACTTAAGAATTCTAATAACACAGCTGGGTGGTGGTGGCGCACCCCTTTAATCCCAGCACTTGGGAGGCAGAGGCAGGCGGATCTCAGTGAGTTCAAGAAAGCCACAAAGAAACCCTGTCTCAACCCCCACCCCCAAGAAAAAAAGGATTCTAACAACACATGGAAAGAGAATAAAATTCATGATTACTAAATGGTCTTTTTAAAAATCGGCATGACCTCACATCAAAATCTGAACAGGGATCATTATTACTAAATCAGGATTCTTCAACAGTCTATCATTTAAGATGTACCAATCTGGTAAACAGTAATTTAAAAACTCAAAATCCCTGCTCTTTTTTTTTTTTCCCCTAGAAATTAGGAACTATAATAATAATAATAATAATAATAATAATAAACCTCTGATGATGGAAACCAATGCACAATCTTCATGAAGTATCAAAATCACAACTGAGTGGGGAGGAACCCACACACAGGCAGAAACCCTCCATCTGGTTTCCTAGATGTTATTGATGTTCTATGCAAAAAGAATTAATGCCTGAGAGTATATGCTATTCTATTGATTGGAAGAATCTTCCAGGCTCTTAAATTACAATGGTAGAAGAAAATGGAGCTAGGAGAAAAACTGCTTCTGGGCTGCCTGGGACCACACCTTACAGACTAAGAGTCTAGGGAAACAGCACTTTCCAGCCCACTGAATGGGAAGGAGTTGTTTTTCTACTGTTCCAGGCCATGCCAGACTTTCAGGCCCAGATGAGGGCCCTCTCTATGTCCAGTAATCACCTCAGATACCCACCAAGCAAAGCTTTCCCTGTGCTTCAGATTCTTTCTCAATGGCCCAGCCCCTGGCCTCTAGCACTTAGCCTAGTGTACACTGTTTTCAAAGAATATCCTGATCTTAAAAGTCTGTATGATATACTGGTTTGTGTATTTTCTGTCTACCTCCTACAATAAGAGCAGCAGTTTTTAAAGTTTACTTTGTTCAATGATAGAATTCTCAAATATGTAGAACAGTGCTTTGTACAAGGTTGGCACTGAGCATTTGTTCAATAAATAAAGACACTATTTGTTTTGTTTGTTTTATCAAGACAGGGTTTCTCTGTGGCTTTGGAGGCTGTCTTGGCACTACCTCTTGTAGACCAGGCTGGTCTCGAACTCACAGAGATCCGCCTTTGCCTCCGAGTGCTGGGATTAAAGGTGTACGCCACCACCACCCAGCTAATACAGACACTTTAAAGCAAGAATGTGATATTATATTATTAGTGCTTAAATTTCCTTAATAGCTCTTTAATAAATCAACTTTAACTGGAAAAAATTCAATCTGAGGGAAAATTATTATTCAGAAGAAATCTCTGTCCTTTAAATTCAAAATCCTATGGGAGAGTTGGTGGTAGAGACATATGTGCCTGTTCAGGAAATACTTAACTTGTGCTCATACTAGGTTATCAGTGTTATATTCAGCCAAAGAGATAATAAGTAAATAAGAAAAAGAAATTTGTTTCTAAGACCCATAGAGGTTTGAAGTAATTATGTCAGCAGTTCATGAGGCCAGCTCAAGGGCAAACTTGCATGTGACACACCTTCACAGTATCTTTTTCTTTTGTCTCAGCTGAAGACTGCTTGGAAAAAGTTAAGTGTGCTCATAAGAATTCTTGCCTGCCATCTTTCTGTAAGTTAAACACACCCAGAGTGTTCTTGCCCATCACTTACTTTAACATGGTGTGTATGTGACTCAGGACTGCGCTAAACAGGTGCCCAGATGCATCCACCATCTTCCCTTCCTAAACTCAACACGCTCACTAGTGTACTTCTTAATGTAGTATGCTCAGGACTGTGTCCACCCCAAGTGCTTTTGTACCTAAGCATGTACAAAATCCTGAATAAAATCCCCATGCTTCCTTTGTCTGAAAGGCACTCACTGCTTCTGGAACAACTACAGTGCTCTCCTGGCTGGCTGCAGGTAATAAACCTCCCTCTGTTCTTTGACCTTCAAGTTGTACTTATTGCCTTTGCAGGCATCAAGAAAAGAACCCATTGTTTCGTTAAATTTCTATACTAAGCAGGTCAGTAAGATTCAACTGGCATCAAAACGGACTGGCTTGACTGAAAGTCAGGATTTAATATGCTCACATAATTCCAGAAATACCAACTTCTATGACTTTTAGTCACATGGTGGAATGGCATGAGAAGCAGTAACTAGATATATGTACTCCAAACTCTGTTGCTATAAATCCTGCCATAGCTCAATTGTCCACCTCTTTTATTATTCTCTTACACATTTCTGACTAATATAGATCTTTATACTCCTTGCCTTTACTTCACTGGCTCAAATTCCTACCTCCCTACTACTAAGATAACCCATTCTTTACAATATTAAAGGTAATTTAAATGAATGGCCACAAACATCTTAACTTTTCTACATAGTAGCACACTTGGTTATCAGATGCTTTCTAGCTGTCTACTCATGCCTTAGCTAACTGCTCTAATCCTCAATTGATTTTGTCATCTGTAGAATAGGCATAATAAGAACTCTTAGATTTTAGCAGGATGGTGATGGCACATGCCTTTAATCCCAGCACTCTAGAGGCAGAGGCAGGTAGATCTCTGTAAATTCAAGGCCAGCTTGGTCTAAAAAGC